GGTTTGTTTAGGCCTTTTCATGATTTCCTGTTCACTTCAATACTACCAACATTTTTGACTGATGCCCACAGAAGCAAATCTGTTCCCATGTTATGTAACCAAAATAAAGGAAATAGTGTACCAAGCCTTAGTGTGACTACACATGGAATATTCTTTTTTAATTATTCATTTCTGGGATATGGGCATTGCTGGATGCCCAGCATTTATTGCCCATGCCTAGTTCAAACAAATGACATCAAACTTTGAACAACCGATTTGAGAAGACCGGAAATAGCAAATGTGATTCAACATGAACAATTTCAGGTTTAGATTATTAAGTTCCACAGAGGGGCTGAGGAAGTTAAATTGATTCCATTACAAGAAAGGAAGATTAAGAGATACAAATCAAATATGAAGAAGTAGAAAAAAGCCTTTATGGCCAAGGAAACCTGAAGTGCATAATTGGGAGATACAAATGATGAACGTTTGGACTAAAATTTGTAGTGGTATTTCATCTATGAATCAACCTCCAGTGGTTGTTTAACTCCTCGAAGGCAATAGAGATCATTGATTTGTTTCATGATAATTAAGATAGGAGGTTGGAGTTATTTATTAATTTCAAGAAAATGGGTCATAAAATGTTATTTTGTTAGACTTTCATTTAAAATGTTTATCTTTAGCAATTGGTTACTTTAGTGGTACAAAGAGTTGGCTGCACATGAAGTTGGATAACACTGATTTTGGTAAAGGCAAAATACTGTACATAGTGGAAGTCTGAAACAAACAGAGAAAATGCTGGAGAGGTTTAGCAGACCTGGAAGTGTTTGTTGAGAGAGCAAACATTTGTAGATGTAACGCAGATTAAATGCGGATTGTGACCATGTGTTACCTGCAGTTGTCTGGACTCTCTGAAACAGATATATAATGGAGTCCAAACACTTTTCTATTGAGAAGAAAAGTTAGTCAGAGGACAATTATCCTCAAGTATTTCATACTTTACATGGCCACAGCAAAAGTGGTTTTAGCCAAGATCTGAAAGTAGCAGCCTGTTTGCCTTTAACTCAGGTTATGGTTGACCTAAGATTAAAAAGAAGAAAAATATTTTTTATTTGTGAATAGTTTAACAGTTCTCAATATTTGGGTAGTGTAGGAAAACACTGAACTAATTGATCATTTTAATTCCTTGCTGGGCAGTTTAGGATCTTTATAAATGAGTGAGCCAAAATGAAGCATTATACATAAATGTGAGTAAGCAATCTCATGTTCTTGAGCATGTTTTGTTTTAAAACTATCATTGGAATTAATAAGGCATAGAGGTTATTCAATTACATCCTCATTGATACAAAGAAGCAATGACTAAATTTTGAAATGATTAGAACTTAGCAAATACTTCTGAGAAATAGAAATGGTAAAATAAACATTGCAACAAGATATGGTCAAATTACAAACACATTTCACTAGCTTTTTCAGGGATATAAAGGGCTAACAGGGATTATGCTCTTGAAATCACTTGGGATGAAACATCCAACATTTTAAAGTAATATAACTGCATTGTTCCAGATCTTTTGTGCATTTAGAATGGTCAAAAATGGATTTTTAAACATTTTAGATCTGTAGTTCATCATTGCATCATATAGACAGAAAATAAAGAAACACATTTTCTAAATAAAGATGTCTTTGACTCACATAACAAAGAATAATCGAGTACTTCTAAAGCTGGATGCTCTCAGAGGATCACTGAAATGAAAAAGTACAAGACCATAAACATATACAAAGGAGATGTGTATACTTAGACATGGATGAAGTAAAGGTAATACCTGTGAATAGCTTTCATATTGGAACTATAATGAACCAAAACATTAAATTTCCAAGTTCAGGATTGTACAAGATTTGCTGTCCTGACACAAACTAAATAACCAATTACAATTTTGTTTCCTTGAGCTGATTACATATCAGTTCATGAACATGCACAAACCAAATTATGATATAGGTTGACACGTTGGCTGAAAATAGATGAATTGCATCAGCTGTTCACTTCACCAAATTCAAAGAGGCAACACCTCAGGTCTCAAAAACATTGGCTACAATAAACCATATGTGTTCTTAAAACTCAATGCCCAGACTTTGAAAAACAGTCCTGCCAAATGTCTCTGTAAAAAAAAGTTAAAATCAACACTACAATGGAAAAATTAATCTGTTGAAGCAACTAAAACAAAAAAAAATTGTATCTATATCAGACAAACTAAATAGAAGCAAAAATAGATCACTCAGTTCTTCAGCTCCATCATTCAATAAGATCATGGCTGATTTGTTTGTGTTTCAAATTCTACATTCCCATCTACCCTTAATAACCTCCAACTCCCCTACCTAACAAGAACCTAGACACCTTTGGCTTAAAAATACCCAATGACCCATAACTTCAAAGCCTTCTGAGATGGAGGCTTCCAGTGACACAATCCTCAGAGAAAAACATTCTCCTGATCTCTGTCCTGAAAGCAAGACCCCTAATTTAAAACAGCAGTCAGTCTGAACTGACCCACAAGAGGAAACATCCTCTCCGTATCCACCTTGTCAACACCATTCAAGATCTTTTACACTTCAGCCAAGTCGCCCCTTATCTTCCAAACTCCATTGTAAACAAATCCAACATGTCCAACCTATCTTTTAAGGACAGCATGCTCATTTCAGCCATATATATTATATATATAGCAAATCCCTTATAAATCTTGTTTAATGCAGCCAAAACTACACACTGTATTTGAGATGTTCTCACACCAATACCCTGCGTAGCTGAAGCATAACATCCTTATTTTTATGTTCAATTTCTCTCATAATAAAGGATAGCATTCTAGTTGACTTCTTGATGAGGTGCTGTGTTCGCATGCTAACATTTTGTGTCTTATGCTCTGGAACACCTAAATCATTCTTCATCTTAGAATTCTGTAATCATTCTACAAGTAAGTAATTTTATTTGTCCTGCCAAAGTGAACAACTTCCTGTTTTTCCCACGTCAAACACTATCTGCCAGATTTTTACCCACTCACTCAGGCCATCTGCATTCGTCTCGGCAGCTGCAGCATTGTACCCTGCACTCTGGTGTGTAACCCTGATGCACTTGTATAGTACAATCTACCTGTAAAGCACATAAGACAAGACTTTTCAATGTACCTCAGCATACATGACAGCACTAAATCAAATCAAAACAAATCTGCAACATCATTATGTCTTTTTAAACAACTAACATCTTGGTGTCATCTGCAAATTTAGCTACCATGCTTTTACTCCCCTCATCTAAGTCAGTCATGTAAATTGTAAAACATTGAGGCCACAACATGTCAATGCAGACTTCACCCATCTCACGTCTTGATAATTAGACAAAGATCGTTTATGCATACTCTGTTTTCTGCCTGCCAGCCAATCTTCTTTCATGCTAATATGTTACCTCCTACACAAAGAGCTGTTATTTTGCACAATAATTCTTCATGCAGCACTTTATCAATGCCTTCTGGAAATCCAAGTGCACAGATTCCCTTTTATCCACATCAAATTACTCTCTCAAAGAACTCCAAGAAATCGGTCAAACTTGACTTCACTTTGACAAGAGCATGCTGATTCTTCCCAACGACATAAAGATATTCTAGGAGCACAGTATAACCTTCCTATGACTAGCACCAGTCTAACTATCCTGTGATCTCCCATTTTCTGTCTTCCTCGCTTCCTGAATAGAAGGATTATACTACTATGCAATTTATGCTACTTTCCAATCTGATAGAAACCTTTCAGAATCCAGGATTTTTTTTTTTAAAACACCACACATCTACTACCTAATTAGTAACCTCTTCTAAGACCTTAGGATGAAATCCAACCTGAACCAGAAGTTTGTCAGCCTGTAGATCCATCCATTTATTTAGTACAACATTCCCAGTAATTGTAATTTTGCTAAGTTTCTCTCCCCTGTTACAATAATGTTACTTGTATACTCTTTCGTGAAGAAAGAAGCAAAGTATTTTTCATTTTGACCACTATTTCCTCATTGTCTGTGATTAACTCCCAATTCTCACTGTCTAGAGGGCCAATACACACTCTACCAAGTCTAACATAACCTGTTCTACACATGTTTCCAAAATGTGTTGGTCTGAGAAAATATACAGTCTTTCATGTTCTTAGAATGTTCTAATGTACTTTTTGACCAATGAAGTATTTTAGAAATATAGTCTCTAGTTTAATGTAAGAATGACAGCAAGAAAATTATGCATAGCAAGGTCACCCAAACAGCAATGCAATACTGACCAAATAATTTATTTTTTGTGATGTTAATTGAAGGACAAAAATTTACTGGATGCGGGGTATAACTGTTCTTATCTTCTTCAATTAAACTGCTATGATGTCTTTATCTCCAGCTGAAAAAGCAGATAGGCCTTGGATTAAAATTCCATGTGAAAGTTTATGCTTCAAACAGTGAAATCCTCCCACAGTGCTGTACCGGAGTGTCAGCCTAGGTTATTGTGTTCAAGTATTGGACTTGAACCAATGACTTCATGACTTAGAGGTGAAACTGCTACCAACTGAGTTGCAGCTGATATTAAAACAAAACTTAAAACATTCCTGCTGCACCTAGGGAAGAGAACAAGTTTTTCTTATCTATTAGACTGCATAACTTTTCACCAAAATAGCCTTTATTTCTTTCTTTCTTTCCTCTAAAAATGATTATTTTAGTAAACAGTTATAATCATGCGAGTCTGCGGAAATAAAATCAACTAATTCTATCCAAGTTATTAACTTCTGTCAGAAAAATCATGTGGATTGGTTGTGTGGAAAAAAGAATTATCTGAATGGTTTATTGGGGTTACTTGATTGAAATGGACTTTGAGGAACATCATTGCTGCAAAGTGGACACAATTTTGCAGTACATCTAACATATGGCATGCATTCAGGGTTACTCTGCTGCAGCTTATACTTAGTACCAGGGGGAATGCAATTTTGAGGTGAATTTTGACTGATATTGCTTCTATTTTTTACAGTGCGTTGTTGTTGGTTAGTCTGTGTTGAGGTTCCTTCAGACACTGAAGCTTTACATGGGACCAACATGAAACTCACTTGCATTTCCTGCATGAAGAGAGAAGAAGTCAATACAGACACTATGGTTGAATGGACCTACGTCACCAATGATGGGAAGGAGATAGCAGTAAGTGTTTACATTAAAACAGAAATACGGATGTAAATAGATTAGGTGCTAAGTAATTGTAATAAAAGAACCTAAATCTGTCAATTACAAAGAACAAAGAAAATTACAGCACAGGAACAGGCCCTTCAGCCCTCCAAGCCTGCACCAATCCAGATCCTCTATCTAAACCTGTCACCTATTTTCCAATTATCTGTATCCCTGCCCATTCATGCATCTGTCTAGATACATCTTAAATGACGCTATCGGGCCCGCCTCTACCACCTCCGCTGGCAACATGTTCCAGGCACCCACCACCCTCTGCGTAAAGAACTTTCCACGCATATCTCCCTTAAACTTTTCCCCTCTCACCTTGAAATCGTGACCCCTAACTGACATAGGTCAGTTTTCAGAATGAGAGATTGTACAAAGGCCCAATGTATATATCTTGGTTACACGGATTATATTGAGCCTTTGCACAAGAAAAATTGTACTGAACTCAATACGTCAGCTGAAAGTACACTGCTTAGCTCCCATCAAATCCCTCAGATTCTTTCCACATTGTAAATTAGTGAACCCTTGATTAGCCGTAAACTTGATGAATTAACAGAAACACAGAGCTGGAGGAACACAATAGGTCAGGCAGCATCACAGGAGCAGGAAAGTCGACCTGCTGTGTTCCTCCAGTCCACACTGTATTGACTCTGACTCCAGCATCTGCAGTTCTTGCTATCTCCAAATTAATGGAAACCACAGGAGATTGTTAATTGCAGAGAGAATGATGGCTATGCTATAATGAAGTCAGATCAATATTCTATAATGTGATTCTAAAACCAATTCTAACTCACTCAACCATTTTATTTGACCTAAAATGCACTGCTTTGCTTTTTTTTGACTAGAGCTGGGGGCTAGTGGTTCTAACTGAATAAGCAGATGAAATACCAGAACTCATTAATAGGTTTATTTCCAAGTCTCTACTATTCACATCATACTCTATCAACGCTGTCCAAATCGTTTGTCGTGTACTCAAAATAAAGACAGTTATATGTTTGAAACTGAATTTGTGCCAAGTTGATATAAACAAGTAGACATTGTTTTTGAGAGCTTATATATGTATGAAAAATAATTAAACTACAAATTGTGCTGGATTTTCTGAGGACTAGTAATGTCATTCAGATTGTTAGATTATTTCTTTTTTACACAATGTAAGAACTCTCACAATTCTGATGGGAAATTCCAATCAGGCCTCCTTCAGAAATATGGAGTTGTACTTCCATTTGTAAAGTCTCTTGTAGCATAAAACAGTTGAGGAAGGGAAAATCATGCCTCCTTTTCCACAGCAGTCAGTCATCCTATTCTAAAATTTGAAGGTCCAAAATCAGAGTCACTTTGACAACTAGAATCGCAGAATCCCTACAGTGCGGAAAGAGGCCATTCAGCCCATCAAGTCTGCACTGATCGTTTGAAGAGCATCCCACCCAGATGTAGCCTGACCGCACCCCGCAACCTTACCCCATAACCCTACATTCACCTCAGCCAATCCACCTAACCTGCACATCTTTGGACTGAGGAAGGAAACCACAACACCTGGTAGAAACCCACGCAGATAAGGGGAGAACGTACAAACTCCACGCAGACGGTCACCCACGGCTGGAATTGAACCCGGGTCCCTGACATTGACAGGCATCAGTGCTGATCACTTTGCCGCTGTGCCACTCCTTGCTGAAGTCAGAAGATAAATACCTAAGGTAAGTGTGAGGTCAAGGTGGCAGGAGGATAAGGTGCCATGTGGGTGAGGTGTCAGGGCACAAAGTGGAAAGGTTTAATTTAGGTAGATTGGGGTGGGTGGGATATGTTGAGTTTAATTAGACATGGTGGAGTCAGGGCCTAGACTGAGGTGCAACAGAGGGTGGTGGTATTGGGCAAGGGGGCTATGGTCTGGTGGCGAGGCAGTGTATGGGGTTCAGAGCCAAGGAGAGGATCAGGTCTGGCATCAGGCAAAGGGAGGTTTGGTCTGGAGTGGATGGGAATGTTTTGGGTCCTGGGCAGGCTGGAGACAGGTGGGTATATTAGGTCCAGAATGGGGCAGTGCTGGGTCCAAACAGTGGGCGGGTGGTCAGGACTGGAGTGGAATGGGTGGTTGGGTCCTGAGTGGGTGGGTGTTTGCGTTGGGGCAGTGCAGTTGGGCATGTACGAGCTAAGTTCAGACTTCAGTTTAATAGTTACTCAGGAATTAGATGAGATAGCTCATAGCCTAACCTTTCCTAAACAACTATTTATTTAAGTCAGAGAACTAGAGGTTAGGCACATCTTTGAGGTCAAAGACCTCAGGAATCGAGTGTGCCAGTGATTACAGTAAACAAATACCTAGTTTCATTCTGTTCTGCTGAGCATAGGTTTGCCCAGTGGGAATCATCTCTAACGCTAGATGTCACAGGTGTGAATCAAACCTGCAAGAGAGAGAGCAGAGAGAGCAGAAACAGGCTAAGCCCTTACTTGCGGAAGTTAACGGCCTGATACCTGCTTCTGATTTGAGAGAAGGACAAGGCTTGCTTGGCCTTTACTAAATTGGTGGCCATCAAGGCCTGCACCAGAATTCTGTGGACGCCATTTTGAAAATAAAACAGCAGCTGCACCGAATACTGGGATGCTATCGAGCCAAATTTCTAGCTGCATGAAGTGACACCTTGGTGGATTAAATAAATCAAAGAGTACCCGAAGGCACAATTTTTATATTCAAAGCAATTCCCAGATCTAAGCTGAATTAGCTGGTATCGGCAGAAGTGGTTATAGAATTGTCTCCACAACCTCAGGTCTGGGAAGGAGGTAAATTGGCCAAGGTTCCTAATCTCAGTCAGTATCCAGTGTTTCCTGATGGGAAAAGTGGATGTGGCTACAGGTAAAGAATAAGATAGAGAAAAGGTTAAAACATGACATCCCCTTTGTCAAATAGCTCACAGCAAATCAAAAAGGAATTTTAAAAAGCCTACCACAGAATTAACAAATGGGAAAAGATCCCAGAAAACAGCATGTCTGTATAATCATTGAAAATTAGAAACATCAATTAAATGTCAAGGAAATGTATCAAAATTGAAGGCCACAAGAGATGAATTATGTAGGTCATAATTTGGTATTTTAAAATTGGCTATATAAAATGATTATTAAGGCATCAATGAGGCAGAACTCAAATTTTCATCATGTTAATTCCATATGTAATCAGGTCTCAGATGAAATAATCTTCTGATTGCAATAACTGATTTCCTAAGTAATATATTTTATTGCATAGCTAAAAATGTACATTAACAAATCACAACCATTATCATTTATAAACAGAATATTGATTTTACTTACAGCAGTGTTTTGACTGAACTGTGTGTTAATTTGTACACATCATTCAATGTGGCTTCAGTAGTTCATATTTCTCAGTTTTGATCTTTGGAAACTAGGACTACACGTGTTATTTTATGGTATTTTATTTAGCAAATTTGTATCTTCATCATTGCATAAATGCTCATTCATCACACAAGCCCCTTGAGTAAAATTCTCCAAAATGTCCCAGCAATGGAATACTTTCTGCAAGTGTGGAATTAAGACTGATGCCAGGTTAATGGTCAGTTAAATATTGTCAGTGGGGTGATCGCTGAGATGGTGGAACAATCTCAAGGTCTTTGGGCTCAGATGTGAAAATAATTAGTTGATTTTCCTGGTTTCTCCTGGTCAAAATCAGTCCCTGGTGAGAAGCGTGTGTGGATGTTGGGTGGAAACAGGAACACCCTTGACTATGTCCCTGCTGCATGGTCAATCAGCCTGCCTAAGCTTACCATCTCAGTTTATGTGTGGTTGATACAATCTCAACAAGAACCCATACCTTCAGGATAAGAGGGGATAATACTGAGGGGAAGAAAACTCTGAAGTATAACATTGCCGTTTAAGCAATTCATCGCTTGATCGAAATCTGTGTCTTTGTGACAGATTTATGAGTACAACGGAGAGCCACGAGAGCTAAAAGGACCTTATCAGGGCAGGATTCTGTGGAATGGAAGTAAAGACCTACAAGATGTATCCATAACCATAGTGAATGTTACACTAAACGACAGCGGTCTGTACCGGTGCACGATCAAACGGTATTTTAATTATGAGATACACAGACCCTCTGTGACAGATGTGAAAGAAGTGCAGCTAACAGTACATGAAGACGGTGAGGAGATTAAGTTCTGTGTGCTGACAGTTTCAGAAATAAATTCACAGCATGGATGGACAATAATGTTTTACCTTTGAAAGGTACCAGAATCTTGAATACCCCACAATGGGGAAAGAAACCACATGAAGCTGCTCTTAGCCTTACAAAGATAGAAGATCCAAAATTCAAAGCTGCTCCTGTGCTGGTCTCATCCTGGACAGCAATTAGGTGCAATAATTGGGTTCAGTGCCCCTGGGACAAAAAGAAACCACGATTATGATCCCGTTTACTGTCCAATAATTTCCATTGTTGTAACGTAATACAATGGAACAGGCACTTGACAATCTGGCAGGGATGCTCTGGGCTGAGTGGGTGGGAGCAGGGAGCATTTGGATGTTGTCTTCTTAACCAGGCAAGAGCATGATGGGCAATGGGTTTCCAATAGAACTTGGGAAACCCAGGAGTTGGAACTTCTCCCGACATGCATTGAAACTTACACTTATCTTTAACCCTCGAGACATGAGGGATAAGATGCCATGGGAAGATCAGAGGTCTGGAGGTGGGGTAGGGAGTTAGAAAGAAGGGGGCAAGTGAAGTAATGGAGGGGCAATCAAAAGGGAAATGAAAGGGGAAAGGATAGGCTATCTAATCACGAGAGTGGAGATTGGGGGAAAGCGTGGTGGTGGGTTATCCAGGTAAGTCATGTTAGACCAAGTGTGTAAACCGTCACTTTGGTTTAGCCAGCAGGTTCTTTTCCAAAGCACAGGAAGTGCAGCCAGCCTAGGGCAAATTTGAAATGATGAATAAAATGAGGCACATAGCCTCATTACAGTGTATAAATTACCATCCTGCTTCCTGGCTACCTGTTCTCCTTCCCATTTAAAATCAGGGGGTGAGCAGGTTGCAGGTGAATTGGGGTTGGGGTACAGGTTTGATTCACGCCAGGAGCCCTACCTGAGGGTCCATCATCACCACCCACTACTCTTTAGACTCAAACATAATCAATCACTTTTACCAGATACCAAAGGGTCACAGCGCCATTGATTTAGCAAGGACAGCACTTTCAGAAGAGAAGGGGAGGTAATACAAGGAAAGATGCTCCTCTAATTTAAAAAAATGGTACCTCTATCAGTTTTTTCATGTTAGTTTAAAAAGGGTTATTTGGCAATTAATATATCGGAAACAAGAACATTCATTTGGAGATGGCAATTACATCAATTAAGTAAATTATCTGTTCACTCAAGGCCCAGATACAATGTTTTCCTTGCTGTGCTGTTATCAGCTCACACTTTCAGTAACTTTGTGGAAAAAAACACCAACAAGCTAAAGTTCTGCAGAACAAAACTAACTTATGGTAAATACCATTAGATGTCAAACTACATGAAAACATGGTCCATTATTTCACCTAATGGTTATTAGGTAGATTAGTACTGTGATAAATAAGGAAAACGCCATGTTTGAATTTAGACCATTGTGCACGATGCTTTCAGCTAAGCAGCCGTAATGGTTTACAATTTGCTCCAAAAGCCCTGAGGCCAAGGAGAAGAGGAAAGAAAATAGCCAGGGATTTTGTTGCTGATCACAATACAGTGACAAGGCCCTATCAAAGAAAGCAATTGGAGACATGTAGGATAGAACTAGGCAGATTAAACAGAAAGAGCTGGGAGTGCTGCCAGCAATTGTGCGATGATGCATCAACACATTGAGGTGTGGGGTAAAAAAGGAAAAAGACAAATCAGTTTAGATTTAAGGTGTGAAGACAGCTACTTTGCAAATATTACACTCTGGAGGTGTGAAGATGCAGATTTAAGTGGTGGCAAAAAAAGTGTACAAAAAAAAACCCCTCTAATTAGAATACCAGCCCAAGATAATCAGAGGTGTTAAATGTCATAAAATATACCAATGACCAATGGATGTTAGACATTAAGTTCCAACCAAATAACTTCAGAAACTGACACATCCTAGACTTAAGGAGGATATAAATTAAGAGATGAAATGTGTGTCTCGTGTCTTATGTGGACTTCATGCAGGGTGCAATTACATTTGACTTTCAGCTTGAACAGCATTTGTTCTCACTTGTTATGAGCCGGACCAATACCCTTCAAAACATATCAAGCAGATAGCCTAGACCCTAACATATTTATTAAAAGGCCAGTGTCAGGCTCTTTGTTACAGATGTGATTCAATTGGTCAAATTATAGGTTTTAAGCAAAACATACTTTATTCTTACACCACAGTTAAAACACAAACAAAATATAAAAGAATTGGCATAACTTTAACTCTGTAGATATACGTAACAAAATAATGTATATTTTAATGACTATTCATCAACTGTTCCAATACAGCAGCATCCCATAAACACACCCTTGGCAAAGAAAAATTTAGCAAAAAAATTGTTATTCTCACATTCAGTCTTCTCACTCAAAGCCAGCAAAACAAAATACTTAAAGAAACAGTCTAACAGCAGAGACCACAAACTTTTTGCTTCCTCAAAAACTCCAACTTCAACAACTGAAAGTAAAAACTAAAATCTTGGGTCTGTATGAGCTTGATTCCACCCACTCCCTCATGCTTCTTTTGTACACTAAAAAGTTCAAAGGTGCTTACTCTGCTTTCCATGGAGCAGACACCTCAGTACCAAGTTCACAACATGTCTGTTCAAGAGAAATAGGACAGAACAAGTCCCTCTTAAAGGCACATTTCATCACACAACAGAGAGATGGGAAAACAGAATATTTGGAAAGTTGGAATGTCTAGACTAGTTAAGGGGAGAGGATTTCAAAAATAATAAGCTTTGCACAAGGTAACTGGTTTCACTTTTGTTTCTTTCTAGCCCTTGAAGATTTTACAGCATACATTTCAGAAATCATGATGTATCTTCTCCTTGTTTTCCTCACTTTATGGCTTGTTATAGAAATGATATACTGCTATAGGAAGATCCTGAAATCAGAAGAAGCTGCACAAGAAAATGCGTAAGTTATCTCAGGACATTACTTGTACACACATTTGGGCAAATTTTTATTGATCAACAGCAAAGAAAATTCAATATTTTATGTTTTATTTAGTATCTGACATGCAGATGGGAATTTAAGGAATTATTAACTTATTGTCATTACTTTTTGCACATGTATGTAGATCATATTTCTATAGCTATTCCCCTTCTGTAAAATTAGGTTCCCCAAAACACATTTCCAACCACCTTTCTTCCTGACTTGCTTGCTCTTTTTCATTGATTTTAAGCTCTTGCTATTGGTGCAGCAGCCTATCTTTAATCCTGTTCGCTGGTTCAATGATAATGAGGCCTGAGGCCTTTAATCACCTACTTTCATCACAGAGCTGTCATTTCAGACAATAGGAAGAGATTCCTCAGGCATGCTCTGGGCTTTTAGATCATAGGATCTAGTCTTGTCAATTAAAATTGGGTACTTAAACTCACTCTTTTAAAATCATAGAATCCCTACAGTGTGAAAACAGGCCCTTCGGCCCAACAAGTCCACACCGAACCTCAGAGCATCCCACCCAGACCCATCCCCCACATAACCCACCTAATCTAGGGCAATTTACTGTGGCCAATTCACCTAACCTGCACATCTTTGGACTGTGGGAGGAAACCGGAGCACCTGGAGGAAACCCACACAGACACGGGGAGAATGTGCAAACTCCACACAGACAGTCGCCCGAGGCTGGAATCGAACCCGGGTCCCTGGCGCTGTTAGGCAGCAGTGTTTTGCATTTTTAATCATCTCATGTTCATTTTGATTTTATAGTTGATCATTTCCCTTTTTAATTCGTGGTTTCATTATTCTTGATTCATAGAGTCATACAGCATGGAAACAGACTGTTCAGTCCAACTCATCCACGCTGACCAGATATCCCAATCAGACCGACTCCAATTTGCCAGCATTTGGCCCCTATTCTCCTAAACCCTTCCTACTCATATAAACATCCAGGTGCCTTTTAAATGTTGTAATTGTACCCACCCCCACTACTGCTTCTGGCAGCTTGTTCCATACACGCACACCCTCTGCATGGAAGTTAACCCTCAGGTCCTTTTTAAAATCTTTCTGCTCTCACCTTAAACCTATGGGTTCTAGTTTTGGACTTTCCCATCCTAGGAATAAGACCTTGGCTATTCATCCTATCCATGCCCCTCATGATTTTATAAACCTCTTATATGGCCACCCCTCAGTCTCTGATGCTCCAGGGAAAAACACGCCAGTCTATTCAGCCTTTCCCTGTATCTCAAACCCTCCAGTCTGGCAACATCCTAGTAAATCTTTTCTGCACTCTCTCAGCAGACAGTCCAGAACTGAATGCATTATTCCAAAAGTGGCCTCAACAATGTCCCGTACTGCCACAACACTGCATCCCAACTCCTATACTCAGTGCTCTGACCAATGAAGGCAAGCATGCCAAACGCCGCCTTCACCATCCTGTCTACCTGTGACTTCACTTTCAAGGAACTATGCACCTGCACCCCTAGATCTCTTTGTTCGACAACACTCCCCAAATCCTTCCCATTAACTATATTAGTCCTGCCCTGGTTTGCTTTATCAAAATGCAACACCTCACATTTATCTAAATTAAACTCCATCTGCCATGCCTCGGCCCATAGGCCCATCTGATCAAGGTCCCACTTTTTCTGTGAGATGATCTTGTTCATTATCCACTACACCCATGTTGGTGTCATTTATAACTTACTAACCATACCTCCTATATTCACATCATTAATGACAAAAACAATGGACGAAACAGTATGCCACTGGTCACATGCCTCCAGTCTGACAAGCCACCCTTCGCCACCACCCTCTGCCTCTTATGTTCTAGCCAATTTTGTATCCAATTGGCTCCCCCTAGATCCCATGTAATCTAACCTTACTAACCAGTCCACTATGCAGAGCCTCTTCAAGCACTTTGCTGAAGTGACAAAGAAGATTGATGAAGGCACTTCTTCATAAAAGTCAATGAAGTTAGTGAGACACGATTTCACATGCACAAAGCCATGTTGACTATCTCTAATCAGTCCCTGCCTTTCCAAATGCATGTAAATCCTGTCCCTCAGAATCCCCTCCAAAAACTTACCCACCACTGACGTAAGGCTGACCAGTCTATAGATTCCTAACTTTTCCTTACAGCCTTTCTTAAATAATGGCACAACATTGGTCAATCTCCAGTCTTCTGCTACCTCACCCATGGCTATCCATGGTACAAATATCACAGCAAGGAGCCCAGCAATCTTTACCCTAGCTTCCCATAAAGTTCTGGGGAACAGCTGATCAGGTCCCAGCGATTTATCTATTTCCTTTGAAATCACATTATATAATAGATCAGGACAGTTATTTCAAGGGGTTTACTGGGCAGTTATGAAAATGGCCATGCCTGTATTTAGTTGTTACTAAGGCAGTCATTAAATATGTATAATATATAAAACATGTACATTCTGAACATTTAAATTGATTTCCAATTTAATTGTTATTATAGAACAGACTACCTGGCGATACCTTCCGGAAACAAAGAGAATCACTCCACAGTTCCTGTGGAGGAGTAGGAATGTATTGAATTTTGACAGTGGATAACTTGGTAAGAATATAACATGAGGCTGGTAATTAGGACTTTTTTTTGAACAAAAAGAATTTAATGCTGAAAAGCGTGAAGCATGAAGAACAATCCAGTAACATACAAGATTTTATCACAGTGTATTTTGAAGGGAACGCAAGTTTTTTTTTTACTTAATCTGGCGATTATTTAATTTCTGTTGAAAGCAGATCAGGGATTCAAATACACAGCAGGAGCAGCTACTTGTTGGAGCAGCCTACATTCAAAATGATCCTGTACACATATAACCGAGCTCTGCTAGTTTGTATGTTCAACTTATATTCACACGTAAGCAAATTCTTTCTGATTAAAGGTAATTTTATTTTTCAATAAACTGAATATACTTTTAATTAACAGGAGGCTGGAAGAACACAGCAGGCCAGGCAGCATCTGGAGGAAAGGAGAAGTTCTGAAGAAGGGTAATACCCAAAATGTTGACTTCTCCTTTCCTCCAGATGCTGCCTGGCTTGCTGCGTTCTTCCAGCCTCCTGTTTGTCTACCTTGGATTCCAGTTTTTGTCTCTATACCTTTAATTAAATTTGGTCATGGGATGTGCTGGCTGGGTCAGCATTAATTGCCCATCCCTAATTGCAATTAACTCCTCTCAGGCATTGTTTATGTGATGCTAGACAACTGAACAGTGATGCCCAGAGGAAACAAGGCTTCAAAAGTAAGTATGTAGAGTAAATAAAGATCAAATATTCCATTCATCATTGTGATTTCAGATCCATTGTAAATCTGAATATCATCTGGTTAAAAGCTGATTAAATTTAAACTGGCATTTCTGCTCAAGAACTGGGGAAGAGGGATTTCCAGATCTTCTCTTAGAAGTTTAACATGTCTCAGATTAGTCCAGGAACTGAGGGTCTAGGCCCGAAACGTCAGCCTTCCTGCTCCTCTGATGCTGCTTGGCCTGCTGTGTTCATCCAGCCCTACACCTTGTTATAACAGATGACAAGTGCAAATTTTACGTAGCCCGTTAGAAGAAATGAGCTTGAAGAGTACTCTTCCCTAGTTCCACATTTTGTTGCATTCTTGTTCAATCAAAATCATGTCCAACATCAAAGCCTTCATGCTACAGAAAATATATTTGCAAATACATTTCAGAAATACCAATCATGGCAAAAAATGTACTGTTGCCTGTGAATAATTTTTAAAAAGTGCACATGTAATAAATCTTTCTAGAATTGACAGCATCTCCCATTCACTGGACCTCATTCTGGACCTCAGTATCAGAACATCTGAACTATATTGACATTTCCCCCATTATGTTCAGTAAGAGGCCATTTTAAATCAGAGAAAGGTAAGTTCCATTTGGGCGTATTCTTGAAGTTTCTAAAATACATCTTAGATTTTGAAAATCAGACAAGTACAGAAATTATAATCCTACAGTTTATGGTGTTATTTTCTTTTACAATCAGTGTGCATCCACTCTTAAACATGTCTTGTATTGATTTAATATATGTAAAAAAAGTATGATGGGGCCAGACTTACCTACAAAACGTGTTGGGGAAGTAATCAGTTCCAATTTCACTGGTGTGATAATATTTCTAGGATATGTACCATTCGTTATTTCATTGGTCTTCTGTACATGTTTCCTTGCCCCATACGATGATGGTAATGCATCACTTTGGGTATCAGAGAGCATTACCTGTTTTGTTTGTCAGATCCGTAAACCAATCTGGGTGTAATGGGAAGATATATGAATTACATCTGTACTAGCTCATTAAAAATAGACACAAGCATTTCTAAGGTACACCACCAGTCTGTCTGTGCCACAACTCTGGTGGTTTTCCAACACTGTTTTCTATTGTTCAGCTATGACTGGCAAATGCAGACAAAACTCTACCAAACTGCAGCACTAGTTTGTGTGCAGTATTAGCAAAAGAACCAAAAAGCCATGTTCCGAATACTTTATTGGTAAATCAGCATAAATTTATGAAACAAATCCAAAAATTAAATTGGACCTTTGAGTCCATGGCACAGAATAGTTCAGGTAATCAATTGCAGAAAACTGTTTTATAGAATTATTTTTTAGAGCAAGGTTTCCTCCTTTTATATTTTATCGGTGAACATCAAAACTCTATGCCAATTACGAATGCATTTCACTTACACCTACAAAATATGAAGTACAATATGAACACTGGAAAAGTTGCTTCCTCCATTTTAGACCAGTCATATTTATAATGAACTGAATTTTCAACCTTTAACTAAAGGAAAAATCCAAATATTAAAGATCCTTAGTTGGTTCATATAAGTGAAAAGTGAGGCAATAATAGTGTACATCAAACAGAAATAATTAGAAACCCTCATCTCAAAAAGGCTAAACTAACGCTTTCTTTTAGGATGCATTCTCTTAACTAATGATTGTGCTACAAATTTATGAAAATGTCAGTCAGTGTATAAAGCTTGCCCTACATTTGTGGTGCCTGGATGGATCTGATTAGCTGCTCCTACACCGCACCCCCCACAACCCACTCCCACCCCTTGCCTATAGCCATGCAAAATTATGGATGAAGAATTACGGAAAAAAACTCAAAGTCAAACAGGATTATAAAACTGGAAATTCCTTTCTGACCCTTGTGTAGGTGGTCTGAACAAGTCTGGGAGACCATGTCAAGCATGACCCTTTACATCATTCACCTTTAAACTGGTGAGATCTTTGCTTTGGCTAAGAACTGGTCAGCTTACACTTTCAATATTTACAGCTCTTTGGATTTCTTCAGTTAATCTTGTTTAATAGGAAACAGAAATAAGTAATTCACAAGGATAAATCATAAATGTACACATTTTTACATCTCTGTATTAAAATTAAACAAATGCTGACATACATTGGTTCCTGTTTAGGCAAAAACTTACATTTAAATTTCTCATCCTCGTTCACAAATCCCCTGGTCTTTGTAACCTCCTTCAGCCAATAATCATCCGAGATCTTTGCAATTTTTGGGCAGCCTCTATTTTAATCCCAATTCCACTGGTGCCCCTGCTTTCTGCTGCCAATTCAGCCATAAAATTCTGCAATCTCTTCCTAAACTTCTTTGCCTCTCTATTTTGCACTCTTCTTTTGGGACAGCCCTTAAAGCCTACCTCTTTGACAAGTGTTTTGTCCTCTGTTGCAATGCGATAAAAGGATTCGATGTTAAATATTGTTTGTTAAATGTTTTGGGAAGCTTTATTACATTAAAAGGTTTATAAGGCTACAATCTGTCATTCTTGTGGACTCAGTGGGTTATTTCCAGGGAATTACAACTTTTTTTCACAGTTTTTTTTTGCTGTGAAGTAGTGATAGAATGTAGGTTTAGTACCTTGCCCACATTATTTCTCTTTTCACAGTCAATGACTGACTTTCCTTTGTTTAGGTTCTGCAATCCCTAGGATGATCAGCCACTTGCATTATGACGGACTGAATTTTTGGAAAAGGAGAAAAAAACATGCATATGCCTTTGGCTTTGAATCTGTGCAGCATTCATTATTTTGCTTATAATTTACAAATCAGAAGAAATTTATCACTAAGAATCAGAAAATTTCCCTCGGTTTGCTTTACAAAGTGTTCTTTATGTATAATTTTGAATGTTTTAAGTTTCGATTACTCAATCTCCAAACTTAATATCTGACTTTTTTCATTTGTACTGTTTTTGCAAATTTAATGCACACTTGATCACATACATCTGAAGATGATTTCAACTGGAGTGTAGACTCACTGAGATTCTATTTGTTTTTCTGAGTTTTATTGGACTTTTCCGTTCGCACCATGGATAAATGATTTTAATTTGCCTACAAAAGAATGCAACATACGGTCTTTACACTATTTGCTGCAGCAAATCGTATGAATCTGACTATATCTGAAGATAGATTGTCTGCTCAGACACCTGGAATATTTCAAATATCACACAATTGGCAAGGAACGATGGGGTTGCATTACTGGTGAACAGCTTGAAGCCAGCTCTGCTTTTCGTCAACCTTCTAAGTCATTTTGAGGCCTATTCTTAACCACTATTGTACAGTCATCAATGCAACTTTTGCAGTGAAGTGTTAAAATGAAATAATTGTTGAAAAATGGTAAAATAATTAGTTAATGTCAGTTGTTCGTATGCAGTGTTTGGACACATTGCAAATCAAGTGTTATTTGTATGCATCATATTTCAAATTGCTCATGCAGAAGTCACATTGATAAGTGTGGTGACTGCATGATCTGTTCTATTCTATGAGCTACTACATCCAATTTCTGCATTTCCTTAAATAGGACAGGTTTTTGCACTATCATACACAGTCAGGAAATGAAAGAGAGAATTGAAAACTGCTGACACAGCAACAATTTAGTAAGCAACAGTAAAAACAGAAGACACACGGAAAATAGAAATGACATTCAGCTTATTAAACTGATTCCACATTGTCAATTCTCCACATCAGTCTGTAGATGGAGAACCTGTCATTTTGTTGTGAATTAAGAAATTAACTCTTTTGGACCAATTCAGCACTGTTAAGGATTCATAATTGTAACATTAGACCTGTTAGATGTTTGTTCTTAAATTCAACATAAAGAGCTTCTGGGCTCAAATTTATCAATTACATTGATGACATTAATCAATCAATTTTCCCTATTAACAGCCTTTTCTAATACTGGGAATAATTTAAACATGCTGAGGCTATTTTCAAAATGTTAAGTACAATGCTTTTTTTTGTTATCTTTCTTTATACCCTCACAGTGTATCAGGTGGATTTGGACATGTATTCATTTAAGATGTATGATGTATGCGAAGCAAACCAGATTTTAAAAGGCTGGTTCAGAACGTCACATATTTTAACAAATTTTACAGAACAGAGCGAAAGAACTGTTCATCTGGAATTACTTACAGTGGCATTTGAGAACAGCATGCCTCTTCATAGCCTAAAATTAATTCAGAGACAAGGCAATCTGCCTTGTCTGATGTGTGACAGCAAAAATTATATTTCAACTTCATTCAGAGTTATTTCTTTTTTATGCTTTAAGGTAGTAGAATTTTTACAATTTCTTTATTTGAAGTTACAGTACTCATTAATAAGAGATGGCTATTAAATGTCATTGCAGGTAACTGTTGAGAAAAATTGCAGCAAAAAATCTCTTCAGACTCTGGTACTGAAAAACTATCCGCTGCTGCTTGCCCACCGTCGTTCGCATGATCCCTCACACGCAACAGTGTCAATTAAAGAGCTTTAAAGTATTATTTTTACATTAAATATTTTTCCACTTCCTAACATCAAAAGAAACAAGGATATCTTTTGCCAGATGCATGATCTTTTTTCCCCTCTGTATTTCAAAAAACTATCCCGTAAGTGTATTGTCCAAAATCAGAAGATGGGCATAAATCTTGATATAACACAATCATGATTTGGACAGCTTCTTGAAAAATATTTAGGATTTGAAAGTAGACTACTTAATCCTAAGCTAAACTTACAAGTCTTACTAACAATACTCAAAGAAGGTAACCATACACCTTGCACATTTCAAAAATATTTTTCACATCTTCAGATGTCCCAAAATGTTTCACAGTCAATTGAGGTATAGGTAAATAGTGAGCACTGTGCAAAACTGTTTGATCCAATCAAGCCATTGTACTTCAGAAGCACTGATTTTACTTAGCCATGTATTAACAAGGACAATAGACATTTCCCAAATCAAGATTAAGCAAGCTGACATAAGATTATTTTGAAATTCACTCACTTTGAAACACATACTATTTATTGATTAAATGTGTAAATAATACTAGCACTTAAGTAAAAACAAACATAATTTAATAGTTATTTTCTTGAAAATTTTACTTTTTCTTTCCATCTCTATACCTCCTCTTCAGTTGAATACTACAGTTAAATTAAACAGAGACTAGATTCAGATGTAAATTTATTAAGGCTTTTACGATGCAGAAAATCTAATTGCTTTTACTCATTCTTCCCTGAAATTTATTGATAAGGTTTATTTTAATGTTTTAGTCTTATACAAAACTTTAACAGATGCTGTATTTGCAAAGGACATATTTTAAAAGTGCATATAAAGATAGAATGTCTGAAAAAAAACCCTGAATGGTTTAGATGACTATCACAGTTTAGAATTGGATGCATGTTAGAAGACGTAGTTAATATTTAGTATTTTAAAGTTGCACAACATGGTGAAACACAAGTTGGAGCTGATTTTCCATTACAATCTTGACATACTTGTGAAGAGTTGATCAAATTCATATACACATACACATACAGTGAGGAGGGAAAGAAGAACAGCCCAGGTATTCCTTTCCTAACTGCTCAAATGGGTCTTATGGCTGTTCTTGCCAAAAGGTATGCTCCTTCTGACACATTCATAAAAAATGGAAAACAGGAGCAGGAACGGGCTATTCAATATAATTATGTTTGTTCCTCGAATTCAACCTTTCCCTGTACAACCTTGATGCCTCTAGTGTCCAGATCTCTACCTAGTTTTTTTTCTGAAATATATTCAGTGGTGTGGCCTCCACAGTCTTATGCATTAGAGAATTTCAAAGGTTCACCATCCTGCCAGTGAAGAAAATTCTCATTGCAGTCCTAAATGATCTACTCTGTATCCAAAGACCACGACCCTGTTGGATAGTTGTCCATACGCTGGGTCTTTCCAGCTTGCTACTCAATGTCAAGAGCATGGATCTGAAGGACAGTATGAACAACTGAATTACAAAATATAGGTGCAAACAAAGCAAGTAACACAATTTGTTTTGGAATATAATTTTGTGGAAATCTTGGCATTAATAAGAAAAATATTTGATTTATCCTTATAGTCAACCTTTGAAAGCGTGCTGTGTCTAATCCTGTGAGCCAACATACGGTAAAATACTGTTAATTGGAAACAAACTCTCAGAAATGTTTTTTAAATTAAATTTTTTTTATTGGTCTATCAGTTACACAAATATAATCCAACCTACCCGCAGAAAACGAGCTCAGCATAGCATACGTAGCAGTCCTCTCAACAGCTTTTAATTGAGACTAACCTTATTTTTGCATTCAGTCCCATATTTAGATTCTCTGGTGACTACATTATCATTGAGTCAGCATTGCTAACAGAAGACTATAACAACTAAATGTCAACCAAACGGAATAAAGCAATTACACTCGGTGGTACTGTATAGGTCTGACTTAGCTTGTGTGACAAAATGTCATATTAATTGCTAATTTGGTGGTTCAGCAGGTACATACATTCTTTGCAATGATCATCCCAGCAGGAGATAGCTTAGTAAACCTGAAAATGCACATTTTTGTCAGGCTCGTTAGAAGGCAAATGTAACAGTATTCTAATTTTAGGTCTCTTTTGCTCCCTAAATAGCTGGTTGCTGCTCCAATCCCTGGACCGAAACTTAGTTTTACTGAAATGATCGTTTTGTAACAGTCATTGAATTCCTAACTTCATCCCTCTCCCCAGAGCACACCAATCCTCTAAACCATCAGCTACAGCTTGAGGAATTTGTTTTATTTTTCACATGTGGTTGGATGCTAGCTAACTAGGATATGCTGTTTGTTGCACATAAATAAGAAAAAAAACAAGCAAATCTCTCAAATGTGAGCTAAGGAAAATTGTTATTGGCAACCTCAACAAACAATGGCGAAACCACTCTATGTTGATATTCTTTGGGTTTTTTTCCCCGAGGATTGTGACTTAGTTGTTTTGACAGTAGGCAAACCAAACATGGAGAGTTCTCCAATGAAGTAGTAATACTGAAGTGAGATATGTGGTTAGAAGAATATCACAAATTTTTTGAAGGCTTAGTTCAAGCAGTATTTTAAAATTCCATAACACGTAATGAAAATGGTGGATCCATTGGTGACAAGACTTCCAGTTGACAGATGTGGCAATACCAACTATTCTGCTTTAATTTATAGGTGCCACTGGAATAAATCCTGTAACCCAGCTAATCAACAGTCTTATGTAGTTATCTGAACTTCCTATCCATTATTGGTATTGACTTCAATTGTGGAACAATCTGTTGCATCTTGATTTTTGAAAATTCTTGGAAAGTGAACTACTCCTTTGCAAATTGACTCCTCCAAGAATTTGCACTTTCCTCTTGGAAAATTAGAGCTGATATCAGAAAAACCATTAAGTTTCTTGAAATATTATGTTTCCAGCAATTACATAGACCTTTGTTCTGTTAACATCCATTTCAGAACAACAGGCTAACAAAAATAATGATTTGGTTTCAGGAAAAACCAAAAAGTTAGCCAGCACTGTATCAGTCTGTCATTGTATTCTACACTGTAGGATTTCCCATTGTGTTTAACTATTACCAAGATAGTATTGTCCAATAAAACAAAAAGGCATTCAAGAAGGGTCTATGTTGACTTAAAGTATACTGAAAGCACAAGGACCAAGCAGATCCAACCCTCTTCACAAAATGTTCGGCATCTCTAATGATGCCAGCAGAGCTC